TTGATCAGATTTACAATTTAAAGCAATTACTGAGGTTGCTTGGTTTGTGGAAAACAGACCATGGGGAGTCAAGAGTGGAGCAAGGACATCAGTTAGAGGGGATATTGGTATATTCTAAGCTAGAGCCAGTGGTAACAGTAGACATGGTGAAAAGTGATTGGGTTTCATACACATTTTGAAACGGAAATCAATAAGATCAGCTGATAAGGGTAAGTAGAGAGATCTCTAGAATGTCTCCGAAGTTTTTAGCCTATACAATAAGAAGGGCAATGCCATTTATGGAAAACTCAGGGAGAAGGTTAGAATAAGAGCAGATTTAGGGAGGAAATCAAGAGTTCAGTTTTGAGAATATAATATTTTGAAATGCGTACTTGATTTTCCAGTGAAGATGTTGAGAGGCCAGATTTTTATGAGGCTGAAGTTCAAAGAGGTTCATATTGTATAAATCATTTGGGAGGTAATAATTAATTGATGGGAGGTAAAGCCATGAGAACTGAATGCAGTAACCTAAGGACTGCATGTGGATGAAGAGTAAATACCTGAATACTGAGCTGTGGAGCACTCCAATATTTAGAGTTGGAAATATAGGAAAGAGCCACAAAGGAAATGGGGAAGGAGTGGCCATTGAGGTACAAGAAAAACAGAGCATAGTATTTCTGGGACCAGGGAAGAAAGTGTCCCTAGAAGAATGGACTGATCATCTGTGTCAAAAACTGTTAAGATGAAGACTGAGAATTGGCCATTGGATGGTGCGGTCCACGCCATGTCAGGATCCTAAAGGAGTCAGCATGGGCTGCCCTCTCTGAGTTGGCAAGGCCGTCGGAGGGAGAGCTGTTGGCAAGGCCACGGCTACGAGCACTTGCTGCAACTGGAAGGGCTGCCTGCCTCGGCTTCATGGTACTGCTTTTACTCTCTCTTTTGATATTTTGGTTAGCGTGGCACTTCTCTGAATTCCCAAAAGATTATAAAAATAACACAAATGATTATGCGGTCATTGAACTAAACATTCCCACAGAGGATCTGAGTAAATTGGACAATTTAAAATTTATCCCCTTATGGTAAATTGACCACACCAACATATGTTCCAAAAGCACCACTCATGCCTAAATATGAGCTGCAGCCTAATGTAAGTTGGCAAACATCATTTACTGGAGATTATATTAATGGCAAGAGAATGGTTGG